CCTAAAAGATCAAGGGGCAAAGGAAGAAATTAAGAATAAAATTTAAAAATTTATGGAAACAGCTAAAAATAGAAGCATAACAGCCCAAAATTTATGGAACACAGATGAAGCAGTATTAACAGTATTATCAATAAATGTTTACATTAGAAAACTAGAAAGATTTGAAATGTTAGAAAATGAAGTATCACAGGTAACCAAAACAGCAATAACAAACCGAACCCAACATTAGTAGAAGGAAATAAATAATAAATATCAGCATAGAAATAAATGAAACTGAGACTAAAAATGCAATACAAAAATTCAATGACACCAAAAATTGTTTTTAAAAGATAAATAAATTGAGAAACAATTATTGAGACTAAGAAAAAAAGAGAGAACTAAGTAAATAAAATCTGAAACAAAATGGAGAGATTGCAACAGATACAACAGAAAAAAAGATCATTAGAAATGACTATGAACAACTATATGCTGATAAATTTGAAAACCTAGAGGAAATTGTTTTTGAATAAATACAATCTATCAAAATTGAACCAAGAAGAAATAGAAAGCAAATATATAAACAACAAGTAATAAGATTGACTCAGTTGTAAAAAGTCACCCCCACAAAAATAAAGGAATGAATGGCTTCACTGCTGAATTCTACTGGACCTTTAAAACATAACTAATGCAAATCCTTCTCAAACTATTTCAAAAAATTGAAGTAGCAGTAACTCTTCCTAAGCCATTCTATGAGGACAGAATAATCCCAATACCCAAACCAGGCAAGGACAACAAAAAATAAAAACTACATACCAATATCCTTGATGAACATAGATATAAAAGTCTTCAAGAAAATTCTAGCAAACCCAATCCAACAATACATCAAAAAGATAAAACACCATGATCATCATCAAGTGGGATTTATCCCAAGAATATAAGTATGGTTCAACATATGCAAATCAATAAACATGATACACACATCAACAAAATGAATAACAAAAAACATGTCATTATCTTAATAGATTCAGAAAAGGAATTTGATAAAATTCAGCATCCTTTCATGATAAAAACTAAATAACTTAGACATAGAAAGAAAGTACCCAAGGACAATAAATCCATATTTGAAAAATCTATTGCTAACATCACTTTGAGTGAGGAAAAGCTGAAAGTCTTTTTTCGAGGAACTGGAACAAGACAAAGATGTTCACTCTCTCTACTCTTATTCAACACAGTAATGGGAGTCCAAGGCAGAGCAATTAGATAAGAAAAAGAAATAAAGGAAATCCAAGTAAATAAAAAGGAAGAAGGCATATTTTCTTTGCAGATGACATAGTCTCATATATAGAAAAACCTAAGGACTCTGCCAAAAGACTGTTAGAACTGAAAAATGTAGTGAAGCTGCTGGATACAAAATCAACATAAAAATTAAGTATCATTTCTATACATGAACAACAAGCTAGCTATAAAGAAATAAAAAGTCATTTCTATTTATAATAGCTACAAAAATAAAAATAAAATAACTAGGAAAAATTTAAATGAGGTGAAATACCTATACAAGGAACATTATAAAACCCTGATGAGAGAAACTGAAGCAGATACCAACAAAATGGAAAGACATCATATGTTCATGAATTGAAATAATTAGTATTTTTTAAATGACCATACTATCCCAATTATTCTACAGATTCAATGCAATTCCTTCAAAATATCAATATCTTCACACAGAAATGAGAAAAAAAAGTCTTAAAATTTGTATGGAACAACAAAAGACCCCCAATACCCAAAGCAATTCTGAGCAAAAAGATCAAAGCTGGTAGCATCGTTCTACCAGACTTCAAAATACACTACACATCTGTAGCAATAAAAACAGCAAAATTTGGGCATATACACAGTCACATAGACAAATGACACCTTAAGTAGAGAAATAGAAACTAATTCATGTTTCTCCAGTCTACTAATTTTTGATAAAGGTACCAAGAACATTATTGGGAAGAGAACAGTCTCTTCAATAAATGTTGCTGGAAAAACATGACATCTATTTTCAGAAGAATGAAATCGGACCCCAACCTCATAACCTATACAAAATTCAAAATATATCAAAGACCTAAATACAAGACTTGAAACTATAATGCTACTAGAAGAAAACAGGGGAAATGCTTTGGGACAATGACCTGGAATAGATTTAATGGATAAGACTTCAGAAGCACAGGCAACAACAAAATGGGATTATATCAAACTACAAACCTTCTACATAGCAAAAGAAGCAATCAACAGAGTGAAAATACCATCCCCAGAATGGGAGAAAGTATCAGCAAACTTTCCAACAGGGGATTGATACCTAGAATATATAAGGAATTCAAACATCTCAAAAACAAACAAATAATCTGATTTAAAAATGGGCAAATGATTGTATAGACATTTCACAAAGAAAACACACTGAAGATCAATGACTTTATGATAAAAACGCACAACATCACTAATCCTCAGAGAATTTAAATCAAAATTACAATGAAGTTTTATTTCACCCCAGTTAGGATGGGTATTACCGAAGAGACAAAAAATAACAAATGCTGGCAAGAACATAGAGAAAAGGGAGCTCATACACACTGTTGTTGGCAATGTAAACTAGTACAACCACTATGCAGAACAGTATAAAGTTTCCTCAAAAACCTACAAACAGAACTCCATACAACCTTGCAATCCCTTTACTGTATGTTTAGCCAAAGAGAAAAAAATCAATATACTGAATAGACATCTGCACCCTTATGTTTATTGCAGTTCTATTCACAATAGTCAAAATATGAAATCAACCTAGGTATTCAACAAAAAATGAATGGAAAACAAAAATGTGGTGTATATAAATAATAGATCTATTTACCTATCAAAAAGAATGAAATCATGAAACATGGATGGAACTGGGGGACATTAGTTTAAGTGAAATAAACCAGGATCAGAAAGTTATATACTGCATGTTCTTACTCATATGCGGTAACTAAAAAAGTTGATTGTATTAAAGTTAAAAAAGCATAATAGAGGATATTGGAGAGTGTGAAGGGGAGAGAAAGGGGGGATAAGAAGATTTTTTTAAAAAAGATACTAAAATAATAATAAAATTATTGTTAGATAGAAGAAATAAATTTTAGTGTTCTATGCCACTGTAAAATGATTAGAGTTAACAATCATATGTTATGCAGTTTCAAATAGCTAGAAAAATGATATTGAATATTTCCAACACCGAGAAATGTTGTGTTTGAGATGATAAATTATCCTAATATGATCATGAAACATTACATGTACAGCAATATCATTCTGTACCGCATAAAATGTACAATTATATGTCAATTAAAAATATAATTAAAATAACAGAGAGGGAAGCACTCTATTTGGGGTTACAAAGCAAATACAGTGGAGTCACATCAAAATTGCACTTAATATATAAATTCTATTTTATGACATTTGAAAATTTTAGAAAAATAAATAATCCATTGCAACATCTCTTTCATAGTGAGATAAATAGCATATGTTTGAAGAATTAAATGCAATTTGTGACAGCCATGAGGAAAATAAATGGATAATGACAAGGGTTTCCAATCAATTGAAAAAATTAATATATGTTGTTAAGTGGCCAAATAAGTGGACAATCTTGTCTTCATTAATATTTTCAAGGAAAAACAGTTCATTGATTGCCATACAGAAACACATATTAATGAAAAATTTTAAAATGTTATAAATAATGTCTGCAGTAGTATTGTATATGCCAAACCATGTATATAATCTTATGCTTTGTATTTTTACCATAATCTTAAATTTAATTTTTACTTCACATGATGTTTACCTTGATTATTGGCTTTAGAACATGGAAGATATGACAAACCCCTTTCAAGACTCATTGGAATCAACAAAGATCAACTGTAGGAACAACACCCCTATCTCTCTGTACAGAAACATTTACTAGCCAATCTACCTGTCCTAAATTCTGACATTCCAAGGGAAAGTCTTCATTGAAGATGAGATAGTACTGGCAACAGGTCTTGGACGTAGTGTACAGACTGTATATTTTATAGATGATTTTTTGTACATAATTCTTTTTTTTTGAGTTGGAGTCTCACTCTGTCACCCAGACTGGAGTGCAGTGGCCACCCCCGGCCACTGCAGCCTCGACCTGCTGGGCTCCGGTGATCCTTCCACCTCATCCTTTCAAGTAGCTGGAATTACAGGCATGTGCTACCATGCCCAGCTGATTTTTTGACTTATTGTAGAGATGAGGTCTCGC